AAACACAACTTCATTTATACATCAAATACTTTATAAGTAAACAGGACTGCATCAAAGAATGCCTGGTTCTTAAAGCAGAAGATACCTTCTAAAGAAACGCTCTGTAAAACTCGGAATGTTGCCTAAGCACAAGGAGAAAACCTCACAGCTGTATGTGAAGGAAGTCCAAGGTTACACTGTTGGAAGTGCCTGAGAGGACATCATTAAAACTGATTTCTTGCCACCCTCTGTATGGCAGTTGACCAAGCTCCAGGCCGTTGTGTGGGAGTTTGTTGTGCCATTTCACACGTTTCCAGACACTGCTCACGCACTGTGTTGTGTTGGACTGTGTTTACAGGTAATACCCAGCACTCTCCTGGCCCCAGAAATAGATTATTGGCAAATAAATCACTGGTGTGAGTCAAATGCAGTGAGTCCTCAGGCTCTCAGACCTTTATATTCCCCAGGCTTATATTAACATAATAAATATCTCCATAGAGAAACTCTGGTGATTTTTCAAGTGTTCCCAACCATGCACAGGAGTCACAGCAGTGATCAGATGATTGGTCCAGGACATCGAAGCCTTCTCCTGTGACCTGATCCACACCACATGCCAGCTCATAGATAGTGTAAATCTCTGCGTGTCCCATAGAGCTGTAATCGAATGGTCATGGAGGCTCAGCTACCCTCTCCTTTCCATAAACTTGCTGAGAATATTTCAAGCATCCACTTTTCCCAGGTGCTGCCCTGCTCTGGGGGAAGGAATTGCCATTACAACCAACCTCCTATTCTGCCAAGAGACACATTCGATTAGAGATGAGATTTTCCAGAAGAACACTAGGATGAAGCCTGGAGAACAGGAGTATGCCTGGGGTGAAACGAGATGAATTCACATGAATTCCTCTCCACAAGGATTTCTCATTTCCCTCATTTCCTGCTAAACTCCTCCCATTTTGTGCCTGTCCCAGTTAGTGTGTGTCCCCCTGCTCTGCTAAAAAACAGCTGCCCAGCAGAGAATTAATATTGTGAGCTGGATAACAGCTTCCCATCATTCAGCACCTGTCAGTGATCCCCTGCTGCAGTAATAGCCCTAACAATCACAGTGCAACATGAGTGGGTTTTCCCCTAAGGGTCCCTCCACTCATACCCTCCAAGTCACTTAGAATCATAGAATCAACCAGGTTGGAAAAGACCTTCAAGATCATCAAGTCAAGTTCAGTCATCGTCCAGCACTGCCAAGGCCACCACTGACCCATGTCACTGAGGGCCTCGTCTACACGGGGTGTGAACACTTGCAGGGACGGCGACTCCAGCACTGCCCTGGGCAGCCTGTTCCAATGCCTGAGCACCCTCTGGGCAAGGAATTGTTCCTCATCTCCATGTAAACCTGCCCTGGTGCAGCTTGAGGCCGTTTCCTCTTGTCCTGTCCCTTGTTCCTTGGGAGCAGAGACCGACTCCACCTCACTGCAACCTCCTGTCAGGCAGTTGTAGAGAGCGATAAGGTCCCCCCTGAGCCTTCTCTTCTCGTTGCCACATTCCTCCCCCCACCCCAGCTCTGTATTCAGGAGAAGTGCTGGCACCCAATTGTTATTGCTGGAAGGACAACCACCTGACATTTGGGATGTCAAAGCATATACCAGGAAGGGCAGGAAGGAAACAGGACCTCAGGTCCACTGGGGTCTCTTCTACCCCATTGTGGAGATGGGCCTGTCACATTTCTGATTTTGGGAGCAGGAGAGTCCTATGTGGCATATCCTTGTCTTCTCATCAGCACGGCGGGAGGAAAGGGCTCCTGTCTAGACACCCCATCTGCCAACTGTGTGTGTTTCCGTGCTGCTTCTTGTTCAAAAACTGTTCTTATCATGGGCATTTGGGCTAAACCTTGTGGCTGCTCTAGTGGCTTTCCACCCCAAAACTTTCACAGCTGCTTCATGCAAAACAGCACCAAGGGGGTTATAGTTGCTGGGCATCCTTCCTGGCTGAACAGATGGGGCTCCCTGGGAATCCCAGACTGGTTTGGGTTGGAAAGGACCTTAAGATCATCCAGTTCCAACCCCCTGCCACAGGCAGGGACACCTTCCACTAGAGCAGGTTGCTCCAAGCCCTGTCCAGCCTGGCCTTGAACACTGCCAGGGATGGGGCAGCCGCAGCTTCTCTGGGCACCCTGTGCCAGCGCCTCAGCACCCTCATAGTAAAGTGATGTAATTCAGAAAACTTCATGTATTTTCTAATGTATTTTAATGGTTAAATAGATATGGATTAAGCTAATCTTTTATTTTCTACGACACTTGCAAATGCTATTACTCCATAGCTTTATTGTGCTGATTTTACATAGGAAGAGGCTACTATCTGAGCTCAGTTTCATTAGGAGCTGCTCTTATTTACTCATACAAGGGGAGGTAGACGCAAGGTAGCAGGATGACATTATAAAGAAAGGTTGAAAGGAAAGCAGTTTGCATGAAAAATCATTACATGAGTAGGTTCATCGCCACTACAATGTTGGGTTTTCATATCAAGAAAAATCAAGCAGTCCTTCCTAAAATACCTACAGTCCTACTTCTTTGGTCCTAATCATAAGCCTCCGCAGGTTTTACAGGTGAGTCTACAACTGCAAAATGGGACACTCATCTGCAAAACACGGGATGGCTGCAAAACATTAACCCCCCATCTCACATCAGTCTCCATCTACCCCAAGGAGATGATAGGTTTGATGGTAAGGCATGTTTTTAGAAGCACATGTTGACATGATGTTTGTATAGCAGCTTATGCTGCCACATTGAGGGTTCAGATGCCATTTGTAGTGTTCTGATGAAGACCTGCCCTAAAAATGGAGTACACTGTCAAAAGCTCCTGC